AAATTAACCATTATTTGGTACCAACCTTGAAATAAACTGACCATTGTTTGGTACCAACCTTGAAATAAATTAACCATTGTTTGGTACCAACCTTGAAATAAATTAACCATTGTTTGGTACCAACCTTGAAATACATTAACCATTATTTGGTGCCAACCTTGAAATATATTAACCGTTGTTTGGTGTTTGGCCATTTTTATAAATTATTACCCCCCGTGCCATATTTAGGGGGTGTTTGAAGGGAAATACCCCCTTCTTCATGGTGGCACGCAATATAAAATACACATATGGTTGATATCAACCTTTTTATAACCTCAGTTATCCAGTCGTTATATTCATTAACACCTGAATGCATTGTGTCTTGAAATTTGTCAAACTGGAAACGCTAGATGTCGCTATGTCCTTAGACTTACCATTGTCCCACAGGACGCATGTAATGAGTTTATACAAAGGTTTACACTTAACACACGTGTTTGCGTGTACTTTATTTGATAAATTTTATCAACATCTTCCACCATTTTATAAATAAACATTCAGTTGAAAGAAAGGTCTGCGCAAACTCAGACTGTACGACGAGAAATTTATGCAGCAATCAGACAACAACGGAATGTAACGACTGAATTATTTGGATTACACTTTTCAAGACGAATATAAAGATTATATTGTTGCGTCATAATATTAATATTTGTCATAATATTAATAATATTAATATTATGACGCAATATTAATATTAATATTGTGTTAATATTAATATTAACAATATTAAGGAGGGGCAGTGTTGCGTCATCGGGGTCACGTGACTGGTGTGGCGCCACCTATTTTCTAGAACTATCCTGTACCTTGGCGAATGCTCTAGCATTTACTAGATATAGGGTAGCTGGTATATAAGAGAGGGTGACAACGTGACGGGACAATAATGTGTGTGTAGGTAATGAGTAATTGAACTGCAGTCAGAGAGAGACGTATTGTTGAAGTTAACGTTCGTTGATATAGTTTGTTATAGCGCGATTGTTGAAAACAAGTGTATCGTAAAGTTATATTCGGAAAGAATAAACCAGTTTTATTAAGTAAGGACTTGTGTCGTTAAAGTTTCGTCGGAATGAAGTTACGGAAAAATCAATTAACAAACGGAAACGTAACAATATATATATATATGTATTGTGTCTGAAATATGTACCCGTGTACAGCGGGACTTGGATCTAGTATCTTATGATGTATATATATATATATTTAAATTATTTAGTTCGTATGTGTCGTTTTTTTATCTTCGTTAAGAATGACATACTCTTATAAAAATATGCAATTGGTTATTTCTTCCTACTCTGTGATGTCACCCTGGAGGCTCAGTGGAAAGTCTGGGCTTATAACGCTAAAAATCTGGTTTCGATACACATATAGCCCATTATGTAGCTTAATAATAATAAAATTATAATTAGTTTTTTTACATTTTCTTTTGGTTTAAATTAAAAGTTTGATTTAAGTTATATTTCTTTGTTCATATTTGACTAAGAACGCGGGAGGTTTAAAGTACTGGTTCCAAACGTCGACTATTAATATGGTTCCTCTGTATTTTGATAGGTTAACACTAGAACTGTCGTGTGCTATGAAGTTTGAAGCCTACCCTCATGACAACCAAATATGTTCATTGATGATAGAAAGTTGTGAGTAAATTTATTTTATAAAATCGTAGTTATATAACAGAGCTCATTAAGAGAATAATTAACGTGACGTAGTACAAAAACTTTATTACACTACTAATCCTTGAATGAGATAATCTACTTCGCTTAGCCATTTCTTCTTCGCTTGAACTTGTCTCTGAATCAACATGGCTGCTGCATTGAACAAACAGTCAGCCCCAAACGACACTTACTAGTTTACCTTATTTCTACGTTATCTACTATAAGGTTTTCACGACAGCTATGACGACGTGTTTTCACCGAAATGTCATAGAACAAAACAAAACTGGAATTCCGTCTGTAGTTAACACCTTTGTCAAACTGAGACGAGTTTAAACAGCATGACGATAGAACTGGAAAATTAGTTTCTGATGACGTTCTAATAATTATTGAAATATTGTGAAACCATGAGCTACCGGTTGTAGTTTGTGTTATCACTCAACATAAAACCATCAATTAGACTACAACCGGTTGTTATCACTCAACAGTTGATGGTTTTATAGACTACAACCGGTGTGTTATCACTCCACATAAAACCATCAACTACCTGTTGTAGTCTGTGTTATCACTCAACATAAAACCATCAACTACCGGTTGTAGTCTATGTTATCACTCAACATAAAACCATCAACTACCGGTTGTAGTCTGTGTTATCACTC